TTTATTATTTAATTCTTCCCAGTGTTAATTGTTTTATATACTATACTTACAAAATAAACCGTAGGAGTTGTTGGTTGTGATTAAACAACTGATGCAGACTAAATTTTAATGTCACAAAGATAAAACTAGTGAAGCCCCCAAAATTTCCTGATCCAATTCATCACACAGCTGCACAAACACTAGAGCTGGTGCAATAGAGGTGGGAAGCAGGCAAATGAAAAGATGGCAACAGTGGAAAGGCTGGGAGGATGCAGTCAACAGCATCTGACAGCGAAACAAGAACTCGGGCTACAGCAGATACATACAGAGATTTAAAACTTCCCTCTAATTCAGGAGTACATCCAACTGGTCCAGGCAATTAATGACATTTCATTTAAAATTTTTCCAAGCAGTGACTCCTCTGGGGAACAAGTTTTAATAAATTCTGAATCTCTTAGGAATTCTTACCTGGATGCTGATGAGTTTTGGGTTTTGCCCATTACAATTGCAACTTTGCAATTTGGGTTGCCAGCACCTTAAAAAAAGTGGCAAACACAAAAGCACTTTTTAGTATAAAATCTCAGTGTAGAATCAAATGAAGCTTTCTAACAAGAAATCCTACTCCCTTTCTTCTATGATGCAGAAATGCAATCTACTCCTGTGTTTACACTGAATAATCACACTGAAACAAAACACAGCTTCTTAYTTAACATGTAAAAGGGAGCTGACTTGTGGGAAGGGGAACATGAAAACCAAACATCAAAACCCTCCAGCTCCATCATCTGTTCCTATGAAAAGGGAACAAGAAGGTACTTGAAATGGAATTTAATTACTCCTGCCTCCATTACAGCAGCACATCTATCAAGGTGAGATGCTGCCACTTCAAAAGTAAAACTTTAAAAAAAATTTCCCCAACCTATAAAGACTGGAGGATCTATGTGGGAATGAAACACCAACCAGATTATAACCCAATTATGCAGGTAAGGCTATCAAAGGGTTATCATGATAACTTGACTACTACTTCAGCATAACTTCTCTGGAATGCAGAATTTCCCCCCACYCTTTATGCAAACGATTTTAGATTGCACTTCACAGAAAGATCTGGGTGGAAATTGTTACCTGAAAATAGCCTGCTAACATTTTAAGCTGCTGATAACATTATTTGAGATGTTTGTTATATGTACRTATTTATTAAGCCTTTGCAACGTAAGGCCAGCATTTTAATGTACAAGTCCTAAAGAAGATTCTACCATTGATTAAAATAGCATCTTATTTCTATGAACTTTAATCCTCACTGTCTTTTTCTTGAAAAGTTTTAGTGCCAAAGCATGCTCTCATTCCTTTCAAAGCCTCCCACAAACAATAAACCTAGGGAAAATACCCAATAGATGTAGCAATCAGTAATTTTTTATTGCTATCTCAGTGCAGATGACAAGCTTTGCAGAGATTTAATTCAAGGCTTGATCTGCAGCAGCTTGGTTTTGTTCTGAGGTCAGAAACAAATCAACTTTTTAATTTCTCTGGCAGCTGTTCTCACAAGGTTTGAGAGACTCTGGTCTGGACAATACAACCGCCTGGCTTTGAGCTGAGCCACTTCCTCCTACAAACAGCCACTGTGATGGCCAGGAAGCAGGAGAGAGATTTATTTTTTTCTGRTAAACACTGCCTGTTTGGAGGGCCAGACTGCCAGCTGTTTACTTTCCTCTTTTGTGATATGGTATTCAGCCATTGTTTCCAGAGGGGACTCACAGAGTGCCCTGTGAGCCGTACAGTGATAATGAGYTAAAAATCCAAGTGAAAAGCTTTGGGCAGGGGGATAAATCAGCTCGGTAAAAGAAAAAAAAAAAGCTGGACCCTAAACACTTGGCTCATTTGGGCAATGCAASAAGCAGGTGACCAACCCCAAATGACCCAACATGTGCTTTGCAGGGTACTGTCCTGCACAGAGAAGTGTCCCCCCACRTAAGGGGTATTTGACTCTTCTCCTTTTCCACAGGAGGTAAAGAATTGCACAAATGCTTTTTTCTAAATCAGATCTATCATCAAGGTTTACAATGAAAGCTATTTTGACCTTCTGAGAGTTAGACATCTGGCTAGATGTTCTAAATCATTTGTACACATTTCTGGAAGGCAAATGAGTAATAATACCTCCATCTCATTTGTGCTTGCTCCTATCAAAGGAAGACAGATTATTGGCCCTTCCATTCCTTAGAGTCTGAAGTTCTGAAAACCTAAAACTAATTTTATGTCACTTGGACCCATAAAAGACAGAAAAGAAGTTCGGCYTAATGCAAGACTATGAAAGACCCCAGAGCTTTGGAAGGAATGCAAACAGTCTGGATGGAATAAATATCTCATTTTTAAATGACATTTTCACATCACTTATAGAATTCAAAGATTTTGCTGGAGGATAGGGGGAGGAATCAGAGAAGCCTGTTATTTTGGGAGGACTTWGAAGTAGTTTTGCAAGAAAACTCACAACTGAAGAAACAGTAGGCATTTTAGAAGGTCAGTTTTAAACTTATTTCCATATTGATGAGCTTTACAATAAACCTTTCAATGTATATGACTGCACAACTTACACAAAACTTTTAGACCACAGTGCTGTCACACTGGCAAACACCTTCAGTTTAACTTCTGGTACTTTTGAACTCTTTATGGCACTCACTCACATAGGCAAAGACCATATTTTAAAATGTGCTTAGAGTTGATCACAATCCCATTAGAAGCCTAATCTTTGCAATCRGGGCATAACATGCTTAAGATTACTGATCTTCACACAATTAACTTATACAGGTTCTTCGTAGTGGAGAGATTACTAAATGTGTCAGCCTTTGAGTACCACCTRTATTTCAAGAAGCTGCCATAGAGCYYGYTTTCAAAGTCAGTAGCACTTTAATTCTTGCAGTCTATCTATTTTTCATTGTTCAGTCTTCAATCTTTTGTCTAAGATGACTAAGGCCAGACAAACTACTACCTSAATGCTGAATGCCTGTGATTTTTGCCACGTTGGCTGTTGCACTGGTCAGCCCAGCWGGTTACTTCTCTCTGCTAAAGGTCAGGGGTCTGTGGTGACTTACAGACCTGTCAGCTTCCTAGACAGGCACAGACAAACACAAGTTCTGGACTCTCCTACAGGAAGAAACTGGACCTAGTGGGGTGGATGGCAGCATGGTAGTGACTGTTGTCATGTGGGGATCTCCAAATGGAAAAAAGGGACACGCACAGGCACACCCCACCAAGAGCCTGCAGTAATTTCTATCCACCAGCACACTGTATTCAACAGTTTTATCTCATCTTTGCCAGATAACACTGAAGGCAGCTGGTTCATGGAGGGCAAGGACTACACTGTCGCTGCAAGCACACTGCCTACAAGCAGTAAAGGCACAAGCAATGTTGGGGTTGTGCAGCTGCAAGGGCTTTGCAGTCCTGCCACCAAATGTGGCTGCTGCTCATTGCCAGCTGGAGATCACGGGCTCAGATGGTGCCAGGGAGAGCAGCTGCTGAGCTTGGGAATGAGGTTTTCCCTCAGGCCTCTCGCACACAGCCACAGTACTTTTAGTTATCATCTATTTTGTATTCACTCTTACTTAATAAATAACTTTTATTACTTTTGAGCCTATAGGACCCTACCGAAATGGGTCCTATATTGTCATATAAAATGACAATATTATTTTTCTACTCTCACTGGAAGGATCTGTCCTCCCTGTCCCCCTGGAAAGTTAGAAAGAGCTGAGGAGCTGCAATAGGCAAGGCAGGATTTACATGAACTGCCTTCCCACAGCCTACCCACAGAACCTCTGGGGCACTTCTGCAGGCAGCACACAATTCCCAACACACAATTTCCTGGAAGCATTCTCAGCTCTAGCCTTATTATTCCATCTTGTTGGAGACCATACTGAGACACAGCCTATTCAGAACTGAGAGGTTCRTTTGTTTTAAAGAGCTCAGGCCTCAAAGGCAGGACATGACCTACAAGGGGATGGCCTGGAAGGAGCCCAAACATCTTCTGCCACAGTGAAGAGCACCACTGAAATACTGTGATAACTCAAGATGAAAYATTGCAGAAATATACACAAGTATTGTGGCACTCCTTCTCTATATTGCAATTCGTCACCCAACCCATTTAGTTTGTCATTCTCAAACAAAATGAAATGTGGAAAACATCTGCCATTACATTCTTAGCTGCCCATTTTTAAGAACCTTTCCTTTCCCATATTTTAAAATCATTGAAGCACAGATACAAATCTGACCTCTGGTCTGCTCAATATCTCTYTCTGTTGTTTGGCTTCAATATTACATTTACTGAAGCTCATTAATTAGATTGCTATGTGATCCAGGATAAATCAAACCGACCTCTAATTTGATTATGAGATTGGCAACATTCAAGTCCTTGAGAGCTCTCCCACAGGATGCAGGACTATCTCCTTTTACTCTGGCTGACAACTGACCACTTGCCTTCGCATATTTTCCTTACCATCTTTCTGGTTTCACACATGGAAAGAACCCCTCTCCCCACCTCAGAGAAAGCAAACTCATCTTTCTATTGTACCCTCTAAGAAGTTACTTAAAGAGGAGATAAAGGAACCCTTAAATCCTTATACAGGCAGCCAYCAAAAACACAGTAATGCCCCGAGGAAAGAATGTAGTGTCTCCCTATKCTGTCTGGGGCAGTAACTCTGCCTCAGATGGACCTTCTCTTCTTTCTCCCCTTTTCACCTTTGTAATGTGTRGTTTGATAAAAGCCTTTTGATGTTCAAAACATTTGGACTTTCAGGAATAAAACCACAAACAACAAAGTGAAGCGGTAAGAGTGTCCTGACCTTCCAAAGAGCACTCACAATCTGGTTGGAACAGGGAGGAATGTAGGAAGCGTGCACGTTCAACACGAGAACAGCTTCCAGGAAAGCTCAATTTTTTAGAGTTTTTTTTAAACAGTCAAGTCAAAATGAAAGTGCAACAGACTTCCACATGAGGGTGTGGTGTTTGAAGACAAAATGCAATGTGTCAGACCAATTCAGATCACTTCACTGAGGCACATCTCAATTGCAGTACCTGCTACTGATCTGCTGACAAAAGGTTAGTTTTGTTTTAATCCTTACTGCTCTATATATTGTATGATATCTTGTTTGCATACATTACTCTTAGTTACGTTTGCTTTACAGAGAGACATAATTTCACTAAGGTGCATCTCCTTTCCAGTATCAAAATTAGATTTGTTCAGTAGAATACTGCTTAACTCATTAGAGAAAAAAAATCTGTCTGTCTAAACTGGGGATATTAATTTAATTCAACATCTTTCATACAATCCCCCATCAAGTTTAAACACACAGAAACAATRAATTCCTATCTAACTGAAAGGCTGAAATAATTCTGCAGAAAAGATGCAGTTSCAGATTTAATATATTTATTAGAATAACTTCTAAAAACACCATTTAAAAATCAACAGAGCTTCTGAGCTGTTTGGGTACTTGTGGGCAGTTTGTGTGTGATAAAATTCCTTTCTGTCATAACATCCTGAAAAGCTCCAGCTGTAAGATGCAGTGTACCCATGGCAATCTGCTTCTGAAAGAAATTCTGTGTGGGCATGGCTCACTGTGTGGGATGGAGACTAAACTAAGCTTTTCCACCGCTCTTCAGTGCCCAACTCCCACGGGACTGCGTGGCTGTTTGTAACTGGCACATGCACGTGTGCCTGAGACACAAAATTAACAGAAAGACAAACGCCAACAGCTACGTGAGCCAWAACATAACTGTGCTTTTAAGGGAGAAATGCCAGCTGGTGCATTTTAGATAACTTTGTGTCTGTCAAGAACTCAGGTCAGGCAAAAGCTCCTTAGGCAGCGGAGCACGGAGTCACGGCCAAACTGCTTTGTCATATACAGATTTCTTAAGTTTGCCCTRAAATGTTTACTGGTTTATTTGCAAMTRAATTCGCCAGTGATCCAATTTCATTAAGTGTTCCGTGATGGTTCTGCATCAAAAGTTTTAAGACTACAACAAATCTTCTCATTCAACTTCTAATTTTCCTCAAATCTCAGCAAAGTGGATTAAACCCTTCTTGCTGCAGTTTCTCTTCTACTTAAAAAAAAAAAAATCTTTTGCTGCTGATAACTAAATCTCTCCTCAAAATACCATAAAGCTGCAAAAGATTACTGCTGCAGCAGAATCCTGCAAAACAATTTTTTAGGCATGGAACAGACATTCCTTTGTGAAGTAGTTATTAGAATGACTGTACTTTTCCAGTCTGAAATACAGGCAATATTAAGGCAATAATAAAGAACAAATTGCAAGAYTTACAATAAGAGTAATCATTGTTTAAAGTTTGATGGAGAGTGTTTTGAAATGTTAACAGAAAAATATAACAGTCATTAAAGATGAAGACAAACCAAATAGCTGATTTTAAACTAATACACTTTCAAAACAATTTGGCTAGCAGAATCACTGAAAAAAAATCAAAAATCGAAATTATGAATTTCTCTCCATGTAATTAATTGGTCTGCATCCCTTATTATGAGATCAATCAGTAACTTTTTTATCCCTAGTAGACAGATACATTAAAAAACTTTAAGAGACACTGTTTAAAAGAAAGATTCAGCAACCCTTCATTTAAACCACTGTCTAAGAAACAGAAATGGTATTTGCATTTTTCTTTCAGGCTTGCAAAAGCCGAATTGAAGCTTTGGGGCATGATATCAGATAACAATCTGCTTTCAGCAACACTGAACTTAAATTCTGAACACTGCATGTGATGAGAAAAGGGGAATATGGTTTTCATTCTCAGCTAATTTTTGCTACTGCTGTTAAGAAACCTTAATCCCATTTCTTTCAAGAAAACAGAGCACTGCAGGACCGTATTTTACAATAGACAGAATTTCAGCACATTAGTTAATGAACACAATTAGAGGAAAAGAAGAAAGCACTGCAGGATACGACTTGCTTAAGACACAATCTGAATATGCAAACAATTAAACTTCAACCCTAAGCTGGCAGCAAGAATCCAGCCTCAATGTTTACAGGGTAAATCTGTCATGAGATTGTACTTGAAAATCCACCAGAGTTTCTGAGCTGTTTGGGTGATTGTGGGCAGTTTGTATGTGATAAAATTCCTTTCTGTCATAATATCCGGCTCCAGCTGTAAGAWGCAGTGTACCCACGGCAATCTGCTTCTGTAAGAMATTTCATGTGGGCATGGCTCACTGTGTGGGATGGAGACTAAACTAAGCTCATTCTACTGCTGTTAGCAATTGACCCCCCTGTGTGCTGAGAAACAAAAACACTCTCCTTATATTATACCCATATCCAAAATTTCTCAAACTTTTTGACAGCAGGCACTGAATACTACTGCTTGCCTCAGTTTTAATCTGCTCATATTCTTTATATACCCAATTGTAACAGCATTTACAGTCTTTAGCTGATATTCCCTTGCTTTGTAGAGGTTGGAGAGGGGAAGATGTAATTCCAACCCTACAAAGGTACAAACAGTTATGTTGCAATGGAGCTTGTCAAAAGTAACTCAGTCAGAGCAGGTAAAGCAATGATGGCTCCTCGACTCAAATGTGGAAATCAGTGAGGGGCACCCCAAGCATCTTATAATCTCAAATGCTAAAGGTAATGAAAGCATTTCAGTYGAATCCATTTCACTTTGTATTGCACACACAGACGTTGTTGAAATAATTACCCATTTCATATGAGAATTTGAGATGGTGGGTTCTGCCTCTGTTACTGTCTAGTTCTACTGTGATTATACACAAATGTATTCTCAATATCCAGATTCTTKAAATTTGACATGTATAAGCAGCCCTGAAGAAGGGTTTTATGTTTCAACAGAAATTTTAAAACTTAAACCCAGTATTATTTCTTCGGTGTTCCCTTCTCCCCACTTTTTTGTGTCTTGTAGCTTTGCCACAGTCTGAGATATGAATAACTCAACTGATTACTGGATTGAGGACGAGGAGGATGATCTCAACCCTCTTATAGATTACAGTACCTATGAGTTTCTCTGTGAAAAAAGCAATGTGAGAAATTTCAGRAAATTATTCCTCCCAGTGTTCTACACACTGGCTTTCACAGTTGGGGTGGCTGGAAACTCATTAGTGGTTGCAATTTACGCCTACTGCAAGAAACCCAAGACRAAGACAGACGTGTACATCATGCACCTCGCCATCGCTGACCTGCTCCTGCTCTTCACCCTCCCTTTTTGGGCTGCAAATGCAGTGCAGGGATGGGAACTTGGAAACCCAATGTGCAAGCTCACTTCTTCTCTRTACACCATGAACTTCAGCTCCAGCATGCTGTTCCTGGCCTGTATTAGTGTGGATAGATACAGGGCCACTTCTGAATCCCAGGGCCGTAGAAGAGTTGGCAAACACTGCAGTGTTACCTGCATCTGTGTCTGGCTGGCTGCCATGTTCCTCAGTATCCCTGAGCTGATTTTTAATCAAGTCAAGAAACACAATGACAGGAATGAATGCCTTCCTGTATTTCCAATCAACATGGAAACACTCTTAAAATCAACCATTCAAATCCTGGAAATTATCCTGGAATTTCTGCTTCCTTTCCTAGTCATGCTGATCTGCTACTCCGCTACTGCTCGGGCAATCTTTAGATCTGCAAATGTTAAGAAGTCCAGGCCTTTCATGGTTCTGCTGGCAGTAGTGGCTGCTTTCATTGTCACCCAGCTGCCCTACAACATYGTGAAGCTGTGGCGAGCCATAGATATCATCTACATGTTGGTTACGGACTGTGACACCAGTAAAGCCATGGATGTGGCACTCCAGGTCACCAAGAGCATAGCATTGTTCCACACCTGCCTGAACCCTCTCCTCTACACCTTTCTGGGAGCCTCCTTCAAAATGCATATCATGAAAATCGCAAAAAATTATGGGAACTGGAGAAGACAGCAGCAGAATGGAAGACCTGAAGAAATTTCTATGAATTATGAAGAATCTACTGAAGAAACAATCAGTTTCACTATATAGGCCCCCCATTGCTTTCATCTTCTTATATAACCATGGACATTGTTTACTAATTCCAGGGGGTATTGTTTCAGCAGCTGTTTCTCTGCAAGTCAACTTTCAGATGGATCTCTGAACCTGCCAAGACACTACAGTGCACTTCAAAGTGGAACATGTTTATCRGAGTCAAGCATCATGCAAGAACTCAATACTGAAACAACCAGAGGTATTTACTAAACAACATCTAAACAAAAAACTACCCCCAAGATTTCAATTTCAAAGTGTCACAGTACTAGGCAATTAAGTAACTTCTAATGAACAATCTGTATACATATAATCATCTAATTAAAACAGAGAAAGAAAGCATCAGCAATCAAACAGCAGTACAGCAACCTTTGCACCAGAAGTTAATGATCTTGTGTTCCTCCAACTATTTTGTAAAACTTTAGAACATTTGCCTAACAGCGCAGTTCCATTTCTCAACTCAACTGTCATTCCATAGGTAGTTTTGCAGTTTGAAATGAGGTATAAGCTTATGTTGAGAATTGAGAAGGAGAGACACRGGGGGGAAAAGCCATTCTCTATGTGTTTCTAGAAATGTATTGCAGCAACAACATCTTTCACAAAAAAAACCCCCAGTAACTCCTTTTCTATAATTACAGAAAAATTACAGACCTTTCACCTCTTCTTTTCTGCTCACCCTAAACTTCAACAAGAGCAGTGCTCTAAGGGAAACACATTCTAGATCTCTGTAAATGTAAGAAAAAGTTAAACTAATCTCTAGATACAAGGACTGGATTTTCTATTCAGARTTTTTGAAATTGATCAAGCACTGCAATAACTGTATCTCCTAAAATATACTGAGATACAATAAAATCAAAGTGCAAAAAAAGTGCACTGGCTTTTGTTTACTCTTTTTTTTTTCAAGTAGGTACTCACATCTCCCATCACAGGAATTTACCAACCCCCAAMGGGTAGAGGTCTTGCTTGCCAAAGGACAAAGGTTCCCATTCCATACAGTGCTAATGGATTTACAGTTTTTACACAGAGAGGTACCAAAGCCATCCCCTGCCACAGTGTTGGCAGAGATTGCAGGAAAACAGCAGTTTTCCATGAGTCACTGGAAGCATTTCAAATATACTGACATWCTAGCTTAGCTTTCAAAATGAAGAAGTGGTGTTACAGCATACCATCCTTGTCTTCAATCACCCCATGGGCTCTGASAAAATGCCTGACCTACAGATTAGGAAAGCCAACAAAAACCTCTCATTTTTAGATGCTGTTCCTAGTTACACAATTAGGGACTGGCACAAAAAGCTCTAAAATGGTAGACAAGAAATAACAGTAGCATAAACAAGACATGAGCCTCTTCTCCTCGTCTGGATGACAAAAGCTTATAGAATGTCTGCCCACAGTGTTTTGAGAAATACTAGGGCGTGAACAGATAAGTCAGAAGTGCTTGACTGGTTTTCTACACATACACCATAAATCTGACATATTTAAGTCATACTGGATTTACTGAACATAATAAAAAACCCCAGTTCTTCCATGAAGTAACTGACTCCTTGCATGTGTGATTTATGACTTGTCTTCAGAAATACACTGGGGTTGCACACAGAGTGACATTCTGACCAGGTTGTCAGGCTTCTGGAATTCCCAAATAAGCAAAGTTCTAATGTTCCAAAAGTTAAAAAACCCCAACTAAACCCAAAAGAGCCCAACCAAGAAAACAAACAAAAAAACCCTACCCAGCCAGGCAGAAAGGGAGACTGACAAATACAGAGCTGACTGAACATGTTTCTCAAACTTCTCAGAATTGCAGTGCCTTTCATGCATCTATCTTTATGCAAATCTGATTGCCCTGATTGTATTTATTAGAAATAAGAAAACTAAATCATGCTGTCTTACATTTACTCTCCTTTTTTTGATTCACGTAACTAATCTGATGAATATTATTTTGTGTGTGTGATCCCCTAAAACTTTCCCTTTACTTACTTAGGGACTGCAATGCACAGCTGGGAAAAACTGACCCAAAGCAAAGGTTAAGTAGCCAGCAGTTAAGCAACACTCTTGGGTCAGGAGACAAGATTCCTTTACTGCCTGTTTTATAGGAGTAGAACAGAGAGAGAGCAACTTCTTATGGCAACAGCAGGTATTGCACAAGCATGTATCAGCAGGGAGGAGACACACTCACATACGTAAATGAAACATTMAAGTTCAACAACTCAGTTTATTTACTTGGATTCCAAACTCCCAGGGAACGGTGACTTTCAAGTAGCTGTCACATATTTTGGCAAAAAAAAAGCAACAGTACTGCAATATTAGGGACAGTTACCACTTAGAGTACAATCCATCAATTTTACTGGGAATTATAAGAGAAAAAARTCTCCTGTAACAGAGTCCAACAGCATCACAAGCTGCTTTAGAAACAACCACATTTTACTGTAACTACACATTAATCTGAAACCTCTCACATAAGCTGCCAAAGACAGCTTCASAAAAACAAAATTTAAAGGGCTTGGCATAAATGTGTAGGTTAACTGATAAAAAGAAGTAAGATTTAAAGAAAATAGCAGCATTCATTCTGAGAACAAAATTCAGAGGTTCCAAAAGGTGCCCAAATCCTCAAATTTGATTAGGATCACAGAATAAAAGCTCAATTCAAGTCTTTGCTTTTGTTTGTATTGTCTCTACTCATGAAAAGACAAATTTTCAKCTCAGGAACAGACCATAAGTACTTTTGTTTGACCAGTTCTGGGAAAAAAAAAATTAGTCTTAGCCATTCTTATTTAGRTTTCCACACTTACCACTGCTCCACCACTTCTTGCCATTGATCACGTAGCTGTTCCCATCTCGCTCAATGGTGCATTGCATATTGGTGGCATCACTTGAAGCCACATCAGGTTCTGTGTTAAAGAACAAACCACCAGATTAAATACAAAAGTAGTATTACTCTGTTAATAGTAACACTGTTTTGCTAGCAGTAGGAAGTTGTTTGTAGAACCTCACTTATGGTGGTCAAAAGAATTCCTATTTTCCAACAACCTGTTATTCATAGCCAGTTTAAATGTACTTGCTCTTGGGCTTGGATCACCCTTTAAAATCAGAGCCTTTATCCTTTCCTTGTGTTTTCAAAGCCTCAGCCTGTTTTTCCYCCTGGGCTCTTCTCAAGTGAAAATAAAGAGATTGAAACTAATTTTGTAGTGGTATCTGAAATTGACTACATGAAGTTGTCAGCAAAATGTCATCAATGATTTTTGGGTCCAGGAAAGATTCTCCCCCTCCCCTGCCACCATTACTTCTTTTTATAGGCCATCTACTTTTAAACAAAAGTATCTGTTTCCTCCTGGGGAACAGAAATTTGCAAAATAAGTGTCTGCAAGGCTGAGTTCTCTCAATTCCTCCTGACACAGGAGGATCAAGATTTTGGCCTCATRTGYTCCAAAAGCTAGAKCAAGAGCCAGACTTTCCAGAGATGMTGAATGCCACAAGCTTACAAGAGCAAAACCAAATACCATGCTGAGCTATGGACTCAAAAAAAAACTATAAATCAAGTTATTTTGGGGTTACATCTTAAAATGTCTGACACACTACAAAACTACACAACTTTAATCACAATAATCATACTTGGACCCAATTGTGGGTTTCTAGAGTACTCCAAGCACACTACGAGAAGGGGTAAGCTCAGTTGTAAATCTGTTTGGTACTATAAAATGTATTTTACTAGTACTAAAATTAAACTAAAAATATATAGAAAAAAATCCTAATTATTTAACCATTTATTTTACTAATTATTACAACCATGAAAATTGGCAACCATCAGGGAAATGCAACAAGGGTGCTCCACTTTGCATTCACACCTCACAGATGATTTTATATTCACATTSACAGACACAGTRGACATTTCTGTACTAATTCAGTCAYAYACAACTTGCAGTTTTCTACTTTTTGGTGCATACACAATGTGAAGTTTCTGCCAACTGCCTCTAACTCCCTTCTGGAGAAAAACTCACCTGTCATGCAGAAGCAAGAACTAATCTTCCCCTCTAGGAGAGGCTCCAGCCACTCTTTCTTTTGCTCTTCAGTCCCATACATGTGGAGGACCTCCATGTTTCCTGTGTCTGTAAGAAATCAGCAGCCATGTTCACTGCTCGAGACACACAGCTTGTAAGGTATAAGATGYCCAAACTTYTAATGCTTTCAGAGCTGTAGTTTTRGGACAGGGTTACTAACCTGGTGCATGACAGTTGAAAACCTCAGGAGCAATAACGCTTCTCCCTGTCTCCTCAGCTATTAGGGCATAGTCAAGCTGGCTGAGACCACTGACATCTGGGAGAAAAAGGTTCCACAGACCTTCTGCTTTGGCCAGTTCCTGTTGCAAGAATCAACATAAAAATATCAGCAATAAATCTTAAACAAAAAAAAAAAAATTCTAACTTGCTACACATTTTCTTTGTGCCTGCCTACCATACTGTCCAATATATCTGCTGCCTTTTTTCAGTTTTTATTCTGAAATAGTAGATTCAGGCTCTGACCTAAAGCTCAGATACACCCTTCTCAGACCTCATTTTGTTTTTCTTCTCCCACCTTTTGCATGCTTCCCTCTTCCTTTCTTTTCACTGTTCTTCATTCAGTTTCTTGCCATGCCAAGTAACTTCTCCAGCAGGATACACCAATCACTCTTATGCTTTGTGTCTCTTCTTTCTTACTGCTAGAGTGCTAAAARTATTYATTATCCCATACCTTYAGTCTTYCCAGCAGTGGTGGTTTCTTCCATTTGTCCTCAGCATTTTTATGTTCGGTATAGTATTTTACTATTTCCTTAGAGAAACAATTTAAAAGATGTTGTTTAAATTAAGAACAAATGTAACACACAAATAGTAACATGTATATTCCAGACCTATGCCCCAAGGAACCAATTTAAAAAGTATTCAACACAGGTTTCCRTTATATAGTTGGTTACATTATCAAATTAAAAGTACAATTTAAAACTAACCTGCCATCTACTCATTTTGCAAAAGTTTAAATGTGAGATGACCCCAATCAGTACCTTATCTTAACTACTGTTTGGGATGGTTTAAAGTACATGATGATGGCACTAGGAGGTCAGTATTTTCTGGTWATAAAAGCACCTGTTACCTACAGTACACACTAAAGGCATGAACCCAAAAGTAAACCAGCAAAAGCCTGATATACCAGGCTTACCATAACACTTAAGATTCAGGTTTCTGGTCACAATATTCAGATACATAAGCCAGTTAACCTTTTGTTAACTAAGAAAAGCCTCCACAAACAATACATTTCTCTTCCAGTCAAAATAATTCCTTAACAGATTTTGTAAGCAGTCATTCCAAGCACCATTCATTAGTTTTAAGTGAACTTCAATATTCAGTAATCTTATTATTTTCACAAGCATGTTTTAGTGAGGCACAGAACTTCAAACCTGACCCAGATTTATAATGAAGAAAAGTAATGCCCAATTCTGAAAATTGCACAATAAAGACAACTGGCCAAATAGAATTTATAAGTCCTGACTCACAAGCCCTGTTACCAGAAATAACTTCCAAACACAACACTACTAATCATTTGAAAAATTCGCATGGCTGTTTGTGATTMATTTGTTTTTTAAAGCAAATACTTGAATTATTGCAAGGCTTCCTTGGACAATCCAAACCTAATCACAGACAGACTTCTAAGAAACTTTGCACATCAATAGTTACTGCCCTCAACTCCTTCTTGTGATAGCCATATGTATTCACAAATGTTTAGATTAATGTTTTCTGCATTTCTGCCTGACTGAAAAAAAAAAAATCCAACAAACAAGAAAGTCAAAAAATCCAATTCCACAACAAAAGTCATCTGTA